TGAGCTGAAGAAACACTAGTAGTTGAGATAGCATGCTCTCAATGCTGGTGGCCAAGTGCCTTTACTGTAAGTAAATTTGAATTAATGCAAGCAGATCACCCAGAAGCGATAAATATAGGTTTAGCACGGGTTAAAAGGTTCGAGGAAAACGCAGAACACGGATTTCAGTTGTGAAAGTCGAAAAAAATATCTACCTCGAGACCTAGAAAGTCTATTCAGTCGAATTCTAACTAGTGAGGATACGCAAGCGAAAAGAAAGTGTGTCATAGCGTTACCGACAATGTCATAGCGTTACTTTAGTAAATTGTGTTTTATAAACAAAGTAAAGGATTCTGAATAAAAACTTTTTTAGCAAAAGAAAGCTCGTTAGCTTCTCTATAAACTTTCCTTTAGATACTTTTTATTAGCTCTTCTAAATTCGCAGGAATTTGCACTTTAATGAGGAGTAGTTAGAATATAGGCGGCTTGTTCACGTAACTCCGGTGGCAGAGATGTCATAGCGTTACCTGTTTTGCTCATTCTGTTTTGAGCATAGCTCCGTTACGAAACTTTCTAGAGAGTTCGGGAACATCTCAAACTGAAGAAAAAATTGTTTTAAAGATTTCGAAATGCATCCGCTCTCTGAAAAATGTTTTCTTAAAAATCTACGTGCAAAATGGTGAGACCTACTTTTTACGGAAAAAAACAAAAATGTAGCTCTCCACATTTTCGTCACAGTTTTTCGAAGGAACACTTTCCAGGAGGAGGACAAATCTCCAAATCTTTAAAAGAATTTTTTCTTCAGTTTGAGATGTTCCCGAGCTCTCTAGAAAGTTTGTAACGGAGCTATGCTCAAAACAAAATGAGTAAAAAAGGTAACGCTATGACATCTCTGCCAGCGGAGTTACGTGGACAAGCCAAGCCCTAGGGCCTTTTTATGTCATAGCGTTACCGGTCTAAAGAGATTTTCTTGAAGTTGGAGTTTTTAACCAAAAATCCTCGTTTTTATAATCAAAATAGAGTAAGAAGAGCCGCGTCGAATGGCTCAAAAACGAACTTTCTAGCTCCTATAGTTTTCGAGAAAAATGCAAATTACTGTGTCAAAAATGTCATAGCGTTACCTTTGGGCAAGCCGCTTAGCCATTATGTAACATGCGGACGTATGGTTGAATGAAAGAGAAAAGAAAAAAGACAACCAAAGCGTGTTCTTAAAATAGCGTTTAAAAAAGCGTGTTTTAAAACGTCTGTACACGGTATATGTGCATAAGATGAACCGGAAAACAAAATAGAAAAGAACAGTAAAGCATTATTTTTCGCAGTTTTCTCCGAAAATTAAGACCTAAACTTCTTCTTTGGATGAAAGGTGATCCAGACAGTATGTCTGTGGAAGAGGTACTTTAAAAAGCTGAAATTCAGCTACTCTACCGTCGCAAGGGAGAAATTCAGAGAACGATGCCTGTAGGCTGTTTTTCTTCTAATGCTGATTGCGATCAAGATGATGAAAGTTCACGAGAAATAACTAGTTCAGTAACTCGTCAGCTGGCATGTCTGAAAACGCCAGAAAAGACTGTTATTGTTGCTAATGTTGAACAGTCCTCTCCACCGTCAACTAGTTTCTCCGAAGCAACAAACGGAAAAAATACTTCTTCGGATTATTCTCCTAGAAATGAAAGAAATAATACTGACTTTCGGCAAAAATCCACAGCAACTTTCTACGGACGATATAATAATAATAATAATAACAACAGTAATCAGTCGCTTTGCCATTTTCTCGAAATCAGTCAAATTTTAATCGTGAAAACTCATCATCTGAGAATACTCGCGCAATTTGTCGACTGGACTCAGTTTTTCGGGTGGTGGTTCTCAAAATCAGCAAAGACCTAATCGTTTAAACCAAAAGAGGAGCAGCTACGTGAAGATACGCTTATCTCCCATCTCCTTAATGAATCCTCAATTGTCCAATCTAAAGAAAAAGGCAAGATAGAGGCTCTAAAATCGCTTGCGAGGTTGGTAAAATCCAACCGTAATGGAGAGGTCTTTTCTCAACCGAAATCCGATTATGTACCTTTATCTTTCTCATCAAAAATATCTCAAACTGTGTCACTATCAACATCTGCGATACTAGAACAAAAATCTCAGACTGAATATTCCCCATTCCCAAGTTTTTCATCTGAAAAACTGCATGAATTAAGTTTTTCTCACCCTAATTCTTCATCTTGTAATTCTTCTTCATCATCTGATGATAGTGTTAATTCACCAACAACTGTACTAGCTATTCCGTTAGGTGAACAAAAGAATCTGGCGCAGAAACTCGAATTTCAGAAAGCGAAACTAGCTAAAAAGAAACAGGGAAAGTTAGAAGAGAAAGAGAAGGTTAAAGAAAATACCCAACCTCTTGTATCGTCCAAATCTTCAGGTTTTGTTACCACCATCCCTAAACTAGAGAGTAAAATCAAAGAAAATGCCATTTCTTCCAATGTTTCAAATAGTTTTTACATTATTAAACGAGGTTGTGTCCATCCAGGATCCAGGGTTTTTGTTTATTTCAAGCTTAATTTTAGTAAAATTTACTGTCCTAGATACGATTTGCATGAATAACGCTTTTTAACTCAGTAAGAAAGTATAGTGAAGATTTTGTTTATACCGGATTTTGTAGAGTGGAAAACGCGCTATAAACGGGCGATAAAAGAATTAAAAGAACAGTTGTTGTTTGAGAAAAAAATATTTTTCGAGCAAAATTGCAAATTTTCACCTTTCATACCCTTCACTAAAACTTCGATAGCGTATCAAAGATAAACAGTACCAAAAAAATACAGTTCCAAAAATTTGTCAAAAATTGCCTGATACTTGACTCTATCTAACCACACGATTTGACCCTTTAAGACCGGGTGCATCAATAAGAAAAAAATTCAACACTGAGAAACCTTTATACAGTTCAACGAAGGCCATTCACTTTGTTCCTCAAATTTTTCGTACGATTTCAAAGACCTTGGGCAAAGCCGTGTGATATAGGGCACAAGTGACGGGAAAGGAAGAAAGACACGATCCTAGGGCCTTCCGTAAATTATGTGCTGTTTCGGAAAAAAAGATCATGAAGAGCTCGTAGACGTCACATTTTCTTTAGAAATGTTTGCTCTACACGATGCAGCTATTTGCAAAGAATTTCTAGTTTGTGCTCGAGCACTTGGTTGACCAGAGGCCTGGATTTCAGAAGCTTTGATAGAATTTTTGTATAGCACATCAGATCGGAAATTCCTTTAGCTGGTCAAATCTTAATTCAAAGGCGACTATAATTTTGATGGTAATTTTTGCCATTTGCCGTTTTGCCAAAACGGGATATATGTAGGCTTGTAGAGGAAGATGTCATTTACGGCGTATATATTATGAAATTCTGTTGCGTACCGTGAGAGAAAACTATAGGTAACCCCCGCTTTTTTGAGACATATCTTTAGAATTTTAGAAATATATCTTATTTTTGAGTTTAGTATTGTGCATTATAGAGTAAAGTGTCCTCTGCAAAACAAGACCCATCCCAGTTCTCCAAGGACTTCTGTTGAGGAGATACGAGTTTTTCAAAGTTTGTTACTTTAGTCTGAAAATCCTAGTTTTTCCCTTTCGAAACCTTTGTCTTTCATTCAGTATTTGCTAAACTTTTCAAACAGGTCAGTCTTGTAGAGCAAGGATTTCTCTACCAAATGAGATGTCCTCCAGCTCTTCACCATGTTTTCTGATGGAGTTCTGATCATTTTGCTGGAACTCTTTGAACAAGTCACATTTCTAATATAACGTCCAAAATGATCATAACTCTATCTAAACTCAAAAATAAAAAATATTTCTAAAAATGTCTAAAAAAAGCGGGGATTACCTATAGTTTTCTCTCACGGTACGCAACAGAATTTCATAATATATACACCACTAGATAGAGGACATCTTCCTCTACAAATCTATATCCCGTTCTGGAGTCAAAATCTTATAGGCGCCTTTGTTCTAGCTACTATGGTCGCCGAGAAAAGTAAAAAATAACATTGGGGAATAAGTTTTGAACCCACTGTGGGTTTAAGCGGTGAAATATCTAATACACAAAAACCGCTGCGAAGCTTCGTTAAGTTTTCCGTTAGCCCATATTGTAGAGCTTTCCAAGGCGCATCGAATGATATATGAATGATTAGAGATCTCTATCTGTGGAAGAAATTATAATTATTTTGGCCTGCCACTACGGGTAAAATCGAGATACCTGTCAACTAGTTGTCAGATACAGCTATGAAGGCAAACTTCTAAAACAAAGTGTTATAATTCATTGTGTAGTAATTTCATTTTTCTATGTATAAACCATTCCGAATCTGAGAGCGCTGACAAAACCATATCCATTTTATTATATTCAATGAGAGTTACATATACGGGAAGCATAGAGAGTTACATATGAGGGAGTTACAGTAATACTTTTTTACTTTCAAAAAATTTATGATTCGCGAGTAGTCTTCTGGGTAAAAAATGCATCTGTTCGCTATTCTAACAGAGCCAGAACATAAGCGGTTCATCTATTTATCGTGCTCAGCATAGTGAAATGATCAGTCACTGTGAAAAAGTACAAAAACTGTACAACTTCAATCGTACAGAACATAAAGCGCACGTTTGACTTTTGCAGATTTCTAGAAAAGTGAAATTTGTTCGGTTCTGTTCGTTATTTATGAGTTGTAGCTTTGTAAATGTCACTGTTGTGTGTTTGAATTATTATACTGGCAGAAGAATAAGAAAATCTTAAAGAAGTAAATGGGATAGTAGCTTATGTGTTTGATTGACGTTTATGATGGCCTTACTGTTTCTTTCTTTCGCTGAGATTTGTGCACATGTAAGCGTCATGGACAACAATACACTTCAAATAAACTAGCATTCACTTATAGGTGACTGCAAAGAAAAAAAAACGTAATAACGTCTCTCTTTGTTTACCATGTGTCAATAGTTCTACAAACAAAATACAGTAATTTGGAAGACTGAAACAGTTAATAGCTCAACTGTAGTTGCTATTTCTTTGTTTGTTTTTCTTTAATCAAATTTTGTCGTATTTTCTTTTGGGCTTTGTGTAAGTAATAAGTGTCTGCCGCAGCAGCCAGAAACGTTGTAAAAAATGACCATCCGATTAAACATCCAACATCTGCCTTAAAATTTGAATATGAACCGAATAATAAATGTCGAGCACCAGCCATAACATGATAGAACGGTAGACCGTAGCCGACCCTGAAGAATCTCGGTTGCAATTCAGGGTTTACAAGTAGATCAGCTGTACTCAACGTTAAAATGAAAAACAGTGTTAGAATAAAAATTGATAGAGGACCTAAAGTAATAAATAGTAGTGCAACAATGGGTGTAAACGTTAGAAAGAAGAGCCAATTAAACATCCAATAACGGACAAATTGACCATAATTAGGATAACCATAAAACCATAAGACGATCAGTGCATAAATCAGACTAACAATCAGACCTTGAAATGCACCGCTCAGCAAACGACCAACGACAATATCAAAAATACGAATTTTTCCACTTAATGATTTAGATATACCAATAGCACTTGCTACACTTATCAGGGCTAATAAATAAACAAAAATATAGCCAATGGTAGAAGCTGCTTGACCAACATTATGTTTAATTGGAGCGAGATCATTCAGAGTAAATAGAATAGGATTCGAACTTACTGCAGATAAATTTAGTATAGATGATGAAACTCTTAATGATGATGATGATGATGACATTGCATTCAACTGTTGAATTAAGCGTGTTTCAAGGATTTGTGAATATTGTCCATTAGCTCGTCCAATAGCGGCTAATATTGGTGGCACAATAAATTGGAACATTGTGGCAAAACTACGCCCGCTTTGAAAGAAAATATCAACAGTAGGTGGAACAGATATGGCCGACATTGCTATCGTATTACTAAATACTGAGTCGATTGCTGAATTGATCAACTGAGTTGTGCCAGGTTTGATGCTGACAGCTGCCCACACCTTGCCGTGTGTTACTTCATATATTGGATAGTTCGGATTATAATTTGATGGCGATGTAAAAATCCAATGTAATGTTAGTTCACGTGGTGGAGAATTTTGAAACGATTGTACAAGCACCGTACCAGCTTGTTGTTGATCATAATCAATGATTATAACATGAAAATGTTTGGTATTATATGGTACTTGATGACCACCACCGATAAATATGCAAGCAACAAGAAATAATAATACCCACATCATAACAGTGATGACTACAATCTTGATTATCGTTTGTTTTCTCGCAGCACTTATCTCAGAATTAGGTGCTTTGGACCAAAAATGAATCGGTTCCACAACAGGAACGGGATATCTGAACGGTCTGATGGCATTTAAATCAAATCGCGATTTTCCTCTTTGATTAGTTAACATTTTCTAAATATAATACGTCAACTCAGAGAGGCGACGGACAACATCCTTCAGATAGCAACTTAGTGGCGCACTAAGACAGATTGTAAAAGCGCACGGTAAGTGAGTGGAACCATTCTTGCTCCCCCAAGGTTCCTCTCTTCATTCTCCAGAAGGAAAAGCTGCTTTGTAGACTCTTTAAAAGGTTCGACAGAAGAAAAGGATCTGTGCGGAACTATCTAAGTATACTATATAACGGAAATTTTCTTATTTTTATGTTTTCTGAGATAGTGATTATTATTGGAGTTTGAGTGCGTTTTCAGTATGATACCGCGGCCCAAGAACAGCGGAGGACTTTTTCAAATTTTGATTTCCCATATGAAAATCATTTCGAGAAAAATCTGTTAATTTAGAAAGTGCACAGACCCATTCTGTCAATGTATTAGAATAGTTTTCACAGAACCTGATCTTCTGTCAAACCTTCTAGAAGTCTTAAAATGGATCTAATTTTCGAACCCTTAAAAGGTGCTGCGGTTAGACAATACGGACTTTTTTTCCTCGTCTTCTTCTGCATCACTCAGTTTTGTAAAAGTATTCTCCTACCACTGCCTATACAAGCGCACACTATTTGTAAGTTTCATGAGATTGCGCCAGTAAAACTTTTCAAAAATTAAAAGAAAAATCGGTATGCAGTGAAGTCAAATTTGTGCTTACTTTCATAAATATGAGCGTGCAGTTGTCTGTAAGTGAACAAGATTAGAAAAAGGCTTTTTTCACCGTTGGATAGTCTGGTATCTGAACTATGAGCTCACCTAATTGTAAGTTTTTTTAGATGAGGAGGTTTGTATTTAGAGTTAGAGTTTTTCGTTCATTCCAAAATCGAATAGGTATTGAAAAATACTTATGTACCTTTACATTTTCCAAAATAATTTGGAGATCAAAAATTTCAAAAGAAAATTTAGCATTTATACCAAATATTTACAAAGAAATTTCGAGCAATGTACTTTCAAGTTGATCAACGTGCACAACAAAAATGGAGTATATTTTGGGACTGTCACACAGTGGGCATTTAGGCGGCATTTTCTGAAAAAATCGTAGGTACGAAATTTTCTGTTTTGAATAGCGGTATATATAGTGTAAACAATGCCCTATTTAACAGTGAAAAATTTTTTGTTCTAGCTGCT